AGTCTTGCCTCCGGATTCGCCACCAAGGCGTCGGATATGGATTTGGCTCTTCTCTCTCCATGCTCGCAGATTCCGCCAGATGCCAAAGAATCCCCTATTCCTCGCCTCATTGAGAAGGCGCTTCTCGATGCTGGATTGGGTGCCCGACTGCTGAGTCGTACGCGTGTGCCTATCATCAAGCTCTGCGAAAAACCTTCACAGCAGTTGTATGATGACTTATCTGCGTACCGCAAGGCCTGGGAGGATGGACTTCATGATATTCACGACGGACAAGAAGAGGAGGAAGCAGACCACGAAAACCCTGGCAATCCAGCCACAGAGGAACACGAGGAACCGGTCGCAGAGTCTCCCAGAACAGACAATACCATCTTAAAGTCTGACGAGTTCGATATTCCCTCTCCCAGCGGTGGAGAGCCGCAGCGATTTTACCTCAGGCAGGGACCTAAAGCCAGCATCTCGGCGTACTCAGCTCTTGCAAAGCATGTGTTACGCAAGGCTGGTGGGCGTGACGTTCGTGGAGCAACCTCGTATAGTTTCTCCGACCACGAATGGGATGTTTTGAGCAGGGTCTGTGCAGCTTTTGTTCGTGGCCTTTCTGACTCGGAGCTACGACAAAGACTCCAAAGTTATCCATCTCTTCAATTCAAATCTGGGAACAACCAGCCGGACCGACACTCCATGAAGGCAGTATCGTGTCAGATCGAGGGAGAGCAGTTTTTGCTTGACCTCAATCGACTCTGTGAGAAATCCGGGGTTGATATTCGCCAATTCCAGACAGACCAAACAATGATGGCCTGGTCAGAGTTACAGTACCGAACTGACTATGGTGTCGACCCTGTGCAATATACCAGGGAGGTCCAGAATGCTTTGGAAAGACTGAGAAAGGTACCCTTCAGCCGGATCATTCTGCTGGAGCAGGGGCCCGGTGAAACACCCACATCGTATCACCTTCGGGCTTCTAGCGCCCTTGATGAACTCGTAAAGGAACCCGGTCCAGACGCTGAAAGCCTCGAAAGAGCCACAGTTGGGCACTATGTTTCAGGTATCTCGACGCATGAGCTTCGGCTCGCTCTCGAGGCCGAGTATGAGGGAGCGTCGCAAAAATGGAGTCTTGATACAGTTTCCCGCAGGCACAAGGCCCTCGCCCTGGCTCGCGAATTTGCCAGGACTCTGGAGAAGGGTGTTTTTAAATCGGTAAACGTTGCTGATGTCCAAGAATATATCAAGATACTTAGGACATCGCCACAAATCACAGCTGACGGTCACATTGATGATTCCGTCGCACCAAAGATATCAGCATTGGTCTCCCGGGTGAGAGCCGTGACGGATCCGCACGCATTGACTCGTAATCAGCAGAATCAAAAGTACAAGGACCAATTAGAGTTTCCAAGCTCTGGGTGTGGTGTTCAGTGTGATATCAACTTCTCGGCTCTACTCGCACTACAGAACACCATTCTTCTACGCTGTTATTCGCTCACTGACCCGAGGGTGCGACCAATGGTACTATTTGTGAAGCACTGGGCCAAGATGAGGGGTATCAATTCAGGTTATCGAGGCACCTTGAGCAGCTATGGCTATGTCCTCATGGTGCTACACTATCTTGTCAATGTGGTGCAGCCCTTTGTGTGCCCCAACCTGCAGCAGCTTGCCCCCCCTCCACCACCTGGCATATCACCCGCCGATATCGAGAAAAATACTACACTCTGCGGGTATCGTGTTCACTTTTGGCGCAATGAAGAAGAAATTATGCACTTGGCTTCTCTGAATCAGTTGAACAGGAACACTGAGTCAATCGGCAGTCTCTTGCGAGGCTTCTTTGAATACTATGCCCAGAACAACTTCCTTAGCAACAGACAAGGCAAAGGTTTTGACTGGGGACGAGATGTTCTCAGTATTCGCACTCCTGGAGGACTCGTATCGAAACAGGAAAAAGGATGGACTGGGGCCAAAACAGTCTACGAGCCACAGGGCGACGCCGCCCAGACTACAGAGCTAAAGTCGCCTCAGCCCGCAACCGATGCCGATACCCAATCAACAAAGCCCCGTGGAAGGGCTGGGGACTTCAAGGAGGTCCGCCTTCGGTACCTCTTTGCCATTGAAGATCCGTTTGAACTCGACCACAATGTTGCTCGGACCGTAACACATAACGGCATCGTCTCAATTCGTGATGAGTTCCGGCGGGCGTGGCGGATAATCAAGCAATCTGGATGCGGGGCAGTCAATGAAGACCTCTTGCTAAACTGCCAAGATGAGCAGCAGCAGCAGCAGCAACAACAACAACTCCTACCTGAGGGAGCTGTAGTTTCACTTTCAGACGTCATGCTTGACATCCATGGTCCTGGAATGTTTGAAAATCAAAAGTGAATTCAAGGATAATTGGAGCCACGTTTGTGGGCAATCTGAATGACGAAGAGAGTTTGATGTGTCATGAAATGATGGTTTATGAAGGATATGGCTGATGTCAGGGAATCGTGTGTATTTCGGGATGTTACGAATGACTGCGGCCGTCTTGGCAGTCAAATCATATCTATATCTTAATTCTATCTTTTTTCATTCTTCATCCCCAAGTAAGCTAAAAATGCTTCCTCCTGCCGCGACCTTTGGTGTTGCGAACCGTTTTGTCGGTGGGCCGTTGCCTTTGTTCTCCTTCTTCCTCTTCTTCCGTGCCTTCTTCCCTATGACTTTTATGACAGGGATATCAACAAAATTTCGCAGTAAATCAGAAATCTTGAGTGCTAGCTTCTGTTGTAATAGTTCCTCCGTTCGTTTCACTAACGGAAAGTCTGTAAATCCAGGAAGTGGTTTGAGAGCCTCGTGGAGCTCCCTTGCTTCTGCTGGCAAATGAATCCACGCACCATCTGGCACAAGCGATAGGATTTGCTTCAGTATTCTGAAAGAGTATAAAGAAGCCTGTAAATGAGCCGCAAAGTGAATAGTGTCCCAAGGAATTTTTGGTTTGGAAGTAGGCCAGGCATTTTCTGACGATTGTGTCAAGATCTGGAGGATATGGGATTGCTTCTCTTGTTCTTGGCATTCTTTTATATTCAATGCCATGCAGAGAAGTGTCCAGCAGGAGATACCGTCAACCCCATCGACGAGATCTTTCGTCTGCTGCAAAGTTTGCAAAAAGCTTTGAAGCAACTCTATGGCTTCTTGCTGAGAAATTTTGCCGACCTCTCTGCCTTTGTGACCCACATTCTGGACCCTTCGATACTCATGAACTGTTGAGTTGGAGCCTGGGACTAGCCACCTGTATATAGAGTATGCGAGCTGTCGAATGGGAGTACATGGTTCCCAGGCGCTCCCTCGCAGGGGGTTTTCTATCAACACAGGAAGGAATATCCGGCTTTCTGAGCTTGAATCAACCGGGGTGTCCTCTGTGGGGTTTCCAAGTTGCAGAACCAGTTCTGATACTCTTGGGTCGAGGTTGCGCAATTGCACAGTCTCTCCCTGAGCTGTGATAGGCAAGTTAGCCAGTTCATGCTGCAAATATTGCTGACAGAACTTGTTATACTTGACCTCATCAGGGATTAAGGAAGAGCAATTTTGAACGAGCTGAGAGATGCTGGTATGTGGATCACGATAGACCTCATATCCAAACCTACAGATGTTTCCACCTGAGGGCTTCAGGCCCAGCCTCTCGCATATATTTTTTGAATCATAGACAAGGCATTTCCAGGTATCTGTGGCACTAGCGTGAATGTCACGGAAGAAGACGACTCTCCCTTGGCCGAGATCATGGATCAGCAAGTCCGAGTCAGATGTGAGGACAATCCCTCCGTGCGCGGCAAGGTGCTGGGCACAGAAGGCATCCGCCTCGCCCGGCACGAGACTCACAAGGTGACGGTACCTGGGGCATTGATTAAGCGCATCAATGATGGCGGGGACAAGGAAGCTCGGTGGTACAAGCTGCTTGTGGGTGCTTGGCTGTTTGGTTGTGAAGAGATCAAGATTCTCTTCGGCTGTGCCATATAAGTGTTTGCTATCGCAACCTTTGGGGCTGTTGTTGCAAAATTGCATGAGCTGGATAAAGAGCTTTGCCGACCTGTCCATGCGGACATCTCGTTTTCCAATAGGTAGATAGGCGTCAAAATAGATGGCATCACTGAGAAGAAGCTATCAGTCAAATGAGCTCATAGTTGCTGGTTTTAACATGACTTTCAACGGTCTGGCCGTTCTTACATTTTCTTAACCTGCAAAGCTAGAATATCGAGCCATTGAATTACAGACCGGCCTAGAAGATCATACGAGGGCTGGGATATTCCATTAGATCTACAAATGGAGAGAATAGTGTAGGCCAGCGCTGGGCCATCAATGACGACATGTTGATCTGTGAAAACCCCCGACACGCCATATGGCTGTAGGGTAGCCGTGAGGCCTGGGATGCCCATCGTGATGGCACCGGCCTGGAGTTGGTGGGGGTCAGAGTTTCCCGGGCCCCCGGACGAGGCGGTTCGTGCTTGCCGGGATACAATTAGGGAACAGGGAGATAGGGAATGGACTGCATTATGGCGCAAATGATTGTCAGGTTGGTGGTACAGTCGGTCCCAAGCGACACTCTAAGCGAAGAAAGCCTGTGTTTGCTCTGGGCGCTTGTCTGCCCTGGACTCACCGGCCCGCTGAGAAATTTCTGACCAGCGCCCGATAAGCTGCTTCCCGGTTACTTCCCCACTGACGCCATTGGATGCGCCCGCTTATCTTTCCGATGCACAGTGCGCACACGGTACAGCAGTGCCAAGGGCGTGCAAACGAATGAGCTATCAATGCTGCATACTGTGTCAGTACTGAGAGAGCACTGTATCAGCCCGGCTCCACCCCCCCAGCCAACAACCGTGGTTATTGGCAGGAGCAAGGGACCTGGAAGAAAAATAATAAAGCTTTGCTCCATCCCTCCACGACAACTTCGCCCTTCTTCCTCTTCTCTGCACCGCACCAAGTTCCCCCTCGGCCACGTCTTTGCCCTCTTGTCGTGGGTTAATCGACGGCGAGCCGAAGTCACCATGCGCAACACTCTCATTTTTGCCGGGAACTCTGTTCCCGTTCTCACTGGACAAATCTGCGAGAACCTGGGCATGCAACCTGGCGAGGCTGAGCTGACCCAATTCGCAAATGTGAGCTTCCAACGTCGCTTTGCCCCTGCTGCTGCCGATTCTCCTTGTACCTGAGCCTTGTTGATTTCCGTCGCTTTGTTTGCGCGACAAAGATTGGCTGACTTGGCTTCGTGTGAAGGGCGAGACCAGTGTCAGAATCCTGACCAGCGTCCGTGAGAAGGACGTTTTCGTCGTCCAGTCCGGCAGCTCCAGGATCAACGACTCAATCATGGAGCTTCTGATCATGATCAGTGCCTGCAAGGGCGGGTCCGCGAACAAAGTGACAGGTTAGACCTCTTCCTGAAACGACCATTGCCGTCGCTGAATCAAGCTCACAACTTGATTAGCTGTCCTACCCTACTTCCCCTACAGCCGGCAATCGAAGAAGAAGGCCCACCGTGGCGCAATCACTGCGCGCATGCTGGCTAATCTTCTCGGGGTGGCTGGCGTTAAGCACGTCATCACCGTCGACCTTCATGCCTCACAAATGCAGGGCTTCTTCCGATGCCCAGTTGACAACCTCCACGCCGAGCCCATCATCGCCAAATGGATCCGCCGAAACGTGGAGAATTGGAGAGATGCCGTGGTTGTTTCCAAGAATGCAGGTGGTACCAAGCGAGTAACATCTTTGGCCGATGCCCTGAAGCTGAATTTTGGCATGGTCACAACGGATCGCAAACGGTCCAACCTGTCAAACAGCCTGATTTTGCCACACTTTGATGCTGCTGGATATCACAGGCCACAGGAAACTGAAGCCGCCGGTAGCAGCCTCTCAAAGACGAATAAAGATGATGAGGATGAGCTTGCGGAAGAACCCACGACTCCCGTCAAGGCTTCGGCTTCTACCTCTCGTGTGATCGCCGACTCCAATGGCTCACCGACACAACTTGGTGGTCTTGGCATTCCAATTAAGCGCAACGACAACCACTCATCCTTGTCTCTGGCGGAGCGAGAATCTTCAAATGGTACTCCATCCTCATTCGATGATAGACGCCCAAGCGAGGTGATTCACACTCGCTTGGTCCAGGGTCACGTTGTCGATGATGACTTCCCGTCTCCGGAGCGATCGACGGCGGCCAATAGCGTCTATGACGACGACGCCATGACATCGTCTGTGTATGCACCAGGAGGCCAGTCACTGGGTGGATCTGGTGATGCAGCTCATAGCTCAGACGATGAGGACAGCCATCTCGAAGATCCTCAGTTCGAGCACATGATCACTCTCGTGGGCGATGTTCGAGGTCGGACAGTGTTCATCGTCGACGACATGATCGACAAGCCAGCATCTTGGATCGCTGCCGCCGAAACCGTCGTAAAGAGGGGTGGTGCTAAGAAGGTGTACTGCATTGCAACACACGGCGTCTTTGGCGATGACTGCCTGGGGCAACTTCAGGCATGCGAATATATTAACAAAATTGTAGTCACCAACAGTTTCCCCATCAACGAGCAGAGGGCCAAGTTTACCAACAAGCTTGTGATCCTAGACCTGTCGTTTATGCTCTCTGAAGCCATTCGCCGCAACCATTTTGGAGAGTCGCTCTCGCCTCTCTTCCAGCACTACTCTGACTAGACGCCCGGCCTGTCGAGGAATATGTGCTATTGCTGCTGTGCTCAAGATAGCCTTTGCTATCTCATCCAACCATTTGATACAATATTTGATTTTGATATTTGCTACTAGCGTGGCGTTAGGCGAGTGGAAACAGGGCGGGAAGTTGAACGAAACAAGCCCGAGCAAGAATGTATGCAAAAACTGCCTTGAGGTAGGAGACTTCGAATGACATCGAAAAGTCCTGTCTTCTGTTGCTTTGTCCCTCTGTTCGGTGTGACATGTTTTGTGGTTACGTTGTGATGTATGTTGAGGACTTTGGTCTCACTGTGTTCTCTCTTACCCAGCGGTTGCTGTCCTTGTGATGGCCAGGATTCAATTCAACCCAGAATGGATTCTGAACGGAACGTTGGTAGATTAAGTTTTCTCGATCTTAGAAGGCTCCTGACTCCGGTCTTCTTGACTACTGCCTTCGGGCGTATGGGTTGGGGGCAAGAGAATTTTTCGGACATCTCCTCTGTGGAAAAGTTTCCTTAGTTTTGAGTACTGATATCAATTTACTATCATTTTCTCGTACTTGGTTATATCCCTCCAGTTGCCTTGAAATTGCTCGGCTAATATGTGCTTGTCTATTATACAAAGTTCACGGGGAATCGACCCAAGCGTTTTATGCTGCCCTGCGGTGCATGATTGTAGCAGATGCCTACCGAGACCTGTTAGTTCATTGTTCATAAAAGAGGCCGTTTCAATCTTACCTGGTGGTTGGGGAAGATGAGGGAGTCGGCGACAACAACATTCTCTGGGCGAGAAGCTGTGAACACGATGACCTCGGCGATGTCATCGGGGGTGAGAGGAGTGCATCCACTGAGAGGGAATTAGTTTGGGTTCTTGCCATGAGGCTAGTCATTGGGCAATACTCACGCATATACGGCATCGGCCTTGGACTTGTCACCGTAAAAGCGGACCACGGAGAACTCCTGTAGAAGGTGACGTTAGAGGGAGGTTTGGTATAGATCCGGGGGGTGTATTCATCGGTATATTGGAGATCTGCGGCATGTTTGCGCGAACTTACAGACTCAACTTGTCCAGGGTCGACGGAGATGACACGGACGCGCGACGCAACAAGCTCTTTCCGCAAGCTCTCAGTGAAGCTCTTGACGGCGGCCTTGGATGCGCAGTAGATGGAGCCGCCGGGGTAGGGCTCACGTCCTTTTTGGCACCACCGTCAGTGAGATTGGACCTCTCTTCATGGCTTTCGTGTAAGTGGGGGGAGAATGACAAACCGGCAATAGAGGAGATGTTGATAATGTCGCCCTGGCCACCCTCAGGGCGCTTGAGGAAGATGGGTAGAATGGCCTGGGTCATGTTAATGAGGCCGGTGACGTTGGTTGCGAACATGACGTTGATGTCGTCCTCCTTGATCTCAGGAGCTCGGTCGACACCCCTGACGAGACCACTACATCTTGTTAGTTAACTGTTTTCTTTTTGTTTCTCTGCATATTTCCCTAATAAATTAAAATCGAGACCCAATTGTAAGAAAAACTCACGCATTGTTCACAAGGACATTGATATCCCTCCACTCCTCGGGTAGGTTCCCCACGAAGCCCCTCACGGCATCGGCATCGCTAACGTCGAGCTTGACAGGCAAGACCTCGACGCCTTCGCCCACCTCCTTCCGGATCTGGTCCCGGAGCTCCCTGAGCGCGTCCTCGCGACGGGCAGTGAGGATGAGACGCAGGCTCGAAGGGCTGGTGCGGGCGAACTCGAGGGCGGTTGCGCGGCCGATGCCGGAGGAGGCGCCGGTGATGAGGATGGTCTTGCCGGAGAGGCGCTTGGCTGCTGCCGCGGTGGCCATTGTGTGGGCGAAGAAGGAGGACGGGATGTGATGCGGCGGTCTGAAGGGGAGGAGGGATTGGGGCGGGAGGGGGTTTTGACGGAGGAGGGAGCGGAGGACTGCCGCCGACTTGGTGAGGAACGGCATGAGGGTCAGAGATGTGAGGATCCGGCCTTGAGGGGCGGGACCGGTGATGGGGGGTTGTGATTAGACTGAGGCAGTAGCGGATGATGTGATGAGGGGCATACGGGTAGAAGCCAATGCGGACTTAGATTTGACCGCAGTGGATCGACCTGGTGCTGGATGAAGAGGATGGATGATAATGATCATGGATGGCCGGCGGCGCGTATCCGATCTTGCAGCCGTGCCTGTATCCCCGCATAAGTGTCTGTCCACCTTATCTCGATGCTAGGAGCAAGGAAGGGCAGTCCGACCAGCCAGGCACGAAACTCGGCCGAGATCCACCAAAAGCACTCAATTGCTCGCCGAGAAAGCGGAGAGGGTCCGAGAGCTCGGAGACAGCCCGACCGGTATAATAATGCCAGGGTCTTGGCCATCCATCGTGTTTGTCACCTAGTAAGGTAGGATCTGGCCATTTTCACGGTCACTGAGAACTGCAAAAGGGAGCTTGTTCAGGTTATCTCATTATCCTAATACAAAGTCGCTAAAATCTGCCAGCTAACTCCTGCAAAGGCTTGACCTATATTTATTATCAAAGGAGCTCTATCATGCTGAAGGCCAATCAATCCTTATCATATGCAGAACAAAAAATGAACGCCGTGAAATGCATTGGGCTTGGGCTTAGGCAGGAGCTGCCGCCTGTGAGGCAAGTCTCTCAGCTGTCCGCCGCTCCCCCTCTTCAACAACTCGCTCTTGGCGCTGTTCTTGGAAGTTCTTGCGCTCGCGCCTGAAAGCCGGAAGTGTGGTCAGGATTCCCAGGCCTCCAATACCTGCTGCTATCAGCATCCCGTTGCGGAACATGTTCGAATAGGCCATCTCAAGGGCTTCCTGCTGAATTTCAGTCAATGGGGTGCCAACATGCCCGAGGGTTTGAAGCTGCTCTGCAGTCAAAAGCCCCACTAGATGCTGCCTAATTTCATTCTGGAGCAATAGAGTGGACGCGGAAATCCCAAGACTGCCACCAAGGATGCGGAGCTGGGAGACGATACCCTGGGCGGGCGCTGTCAATCTGTTAGAATTCCACCTGTTGAGGTATCACATATTGCGGATTTGGAGTAAAACCTACCAAAGTCTCGAACTGGGGCCTCGACATTTGCAAGCATAGAGGAGGCACTGGCTGTGAATCCAAAACCCAAGCCAGCAAAGACGAGGAAGCCCAGGGCTTTGCTATCGTCTCCGGATCCCTTGACAGTAGATAAAAGTCCGCAGCCCAGCGTGAGCAAGCATGCTCCTGCAAATAATGTCTCGAACAGACGATTCGTGTTTGAGCTTAGCCTACCAGCGGCAAGTGTGCCGACGGCGGTTGATCCTAACATCGGCAGCAACATTACACCTGCAATGAGGGCATCTTTTCCGCTGACGATTTGAGTCCGGAGCGGGAACGAAAAGACGATAATAAAGTAAGGGAAGCCGAGGACCAAGGATGATAATGCGGCAGCGGCATAGTGTCGGTTCTTGAAGAGCTCAACTGGGAAAGCCAGAGCCAAGCGGTTGTTAGCGCGATTGCCTAGATAGCGCTCCCAGAAAACCAGACAGAAGAAGAGGACGATTCCGGCGATGAGAGGGGCCAGAAAGTCGGCGTGGCCCCAGTTGGGAGTCTTCTTCTCCCCGGCGTGTTGGAAGGAGAAAACGACCAGAGTTGGGGCTGCAAGGGTGAGGAGTGACCCGAGGACGTCGAAACTTGTCCACTTCCGCACCTCGTAAGTTGGAAGAGACTCTTTCTTCGGCCAGGCTAGAAAGAAGATTACAAGAGAAACGAACCCTATAGGTGCGCTGTGAAAAGTAAGTATACGAATAATCAATTGGACAAAACATTCCGAAAGCAGATGCGTACTTGATCCAGAAAATCCATCTCCAATCAGCGTAATGTGTTAGAATACCACCCAAGACCGGCCCCAGCACGCCGGACATGGCGATGACTAAACCAATGACGGCGCCAATGTATTGTAAGAGATGCGGAGGAGCAAGCTCTGGGAGCATAATCAAAGCTAAGGAGTTGAGACCTGAACCTCCAATGCCCTGAAAGACCCGAAATACAATCATCTGGTTCACGTTCTTGGCGAAGCCACAAGCCAAAGAGAAGCCGAAGAAGATCACGTAGGCTACTAAGAAGGCATCTCTGCGGCCGATGATGTCAGATATTCTGGCAAAGGTGACGGCACAGCCAATGTATGCCAGGGTGTAGGCCAAGGCAATCCAGTTGATTTGATCTGAGGATTGAAAGTCCACACCGATCGTGTACATGCTGGTGGCGACGATAGAGGTGTCTGCCATGGCAAGAAATAGGCCGAGAGTAACGCTAAGAGATTATTAGTAGATGATAATTACATTGACATGATAAATGATCAATTAATAAGGGCAAAGGTATTGTTGCGTACCCTAGGGTGAGGAACCAGAACCTGTTGACAGGTATCGTGGCGTAGCGGAATTCATCGTCTGCTATCTCGCGAGATTCCAGACGGCCACCGGCTGCTGTCTTTTCCGCCTCTTGGCCAGACTGGCTTGAAGTTTCGGGAGGATCCAACATCATGTCTAGATTTGATGGTTGGTTCTGTAGATCGTGGACTCGACGATGGGTGGATCTCGGATCTTAGGCGACGGGAAGTAGTACAGCGCCAAGGAGCTTGGAATGCGGAGGCGGGGTGACAGGAGGTAGCTGGCAGGAATTGACAGGAGGGGAGTGCAAGAACAGAAGAAGGTGTACGAGAGGAATACAAGGAAAATAATAAGGGACTTCTGGGCGATGTTAAATACTGGCCTAGGAGGAGTGAATCGTAGTGTGGCGGGTGACTGCTTTTCACTCGCGTAAGTTCACGAGTGTTTCGTTAGTGCTATTGATGCAGGGACGGACTGGACCAACAAGCACACAAAGGGTTGACAAAGTTTTTCAACACGGAAGGCAAAGTTGCACCGACGGGAAGGAGGGAATAGCGTCAGATTTCCTTTCTTTAGATATCCTATAATTACGTCTCCTCCACCTGGCATGCGAGTCCGGGCTGGCAGGCGGCGAAATGCATCCTCTGCTCGAATGGCAGTCTCTTTTGGGGCGAATTTCGCCCATGTTGGCAGGGCTGAGATGCTTAGCGTTATTCAGGGGCTTCTTACCTGCGCGTGCAGTGGTGAAATCAATGGAGGACTCCAGCGATCTGTTGGTGATTTTCACGACTATTGGGTCAGCAGCAAATCGCATTCGCTTTTATCAAGAGCGCCCGTCGCATTCGCCTGTGAAAATGGGGTTGGGGTTGGCTCAGCGGCCAATCATAGGAGCGTATCTCATGTTGAATTGTGGAACTCGCAAGAGCGGCACACACGTTGGCACGTGATCATCCTGACCCGTAGCTTCCTTATTGGTTGTGTGGTCTCCATGTGGCTTACTTAAGCCCATTAGGGTGTAGAGGTAAGCTCTCGAGGAAGGTGAGGATGGTGTGGTCGAGCAGACGGTTTGTGAAGTGACGATTTGTTGAAACATCTATTGTAGTCTTGTTTTCGCTTGCCATTTGAGCGCGTCCGGCTGTTCCAGAGCCATCGGCGAATTGGCTGGCTGCCTGTGAGCTCAATTGTGAGACGTCGTGGGTCTGTGCTGTGTATGAGCTGGTCGTCCCGCTGAAGCTCCCTCAGGCAGGCTCCAATCATGCTTATTGCCGCTGCCTAAGCTCCCCTACCGACCCCACTCACCACCAAGGAGACAGCATCGCAAGCAGCATCAAGCCGTGACTGGGCCTTGCTTCGTCGTCTCCGAGATATCCAAGGCCGGGCCTGCGTACATGAACAAACACATATTGACCTGCACTCTGTTTCTTGCACCTGAACAACAGCGAAGATGACTGAGATCCTTGTTCAGACCCCACCTGTGCTCCAAGGACCCTCTGAGAAGGAGAGGAAGTATGATCGCCAGTTGAGACTCTGGGCTGCTTCAGGCCAAGCTGCCCTCGAATCTTCAAATATCCTTCTGCTCAACTCTGGATCCGGAACCGTGGGTGTGGAAACTCTCAAAAATCTTGTCCTGCCAGGTTTGATATACCTAAATTTCTACCCCTCTCACAGCTAAGCTTCACAAGGCTGACATACGTATACAATACCACAGGGATCGGAAGCTTCACCATTGCGGATGATGCCGTTGTCCATGACGAGGATCTTGGTGTTAATTTCTTTCTTGATGAGAGCTCCAAGGGAAAGTCAAGGGCCCAGTGTTGCACAGAGTTTCTGGTGGAACTGAATCCAGAGGTCAATGGAAGCTGGTGGCCCAGGAATTCAGTACGTCTTGTGTTCTCGTATCCACATGCTGCTGTTCCAAGGAGACTGACATACATCTGAGCAGGATGACCAGAGACTCGAGCAGTTGTTCGAGGCAACTCAGACACCATTTACAATGATTCTGTATGCCCTGCCTATCCAGCCGGAGCGTCTTAGCATCCTTCAGGAATATTCTCGTCGGCATCAAACTCCCCTTGTTGCTGTTCACTCAGCCGGATTTTATTCCTACTTCAGCGTCAACCTGCATGGGGCCTTTCCAATTGTTGACACACATCCCGATGATACGGCAACCGGTGATCTTCGGCTTCTTAGCCCCTGGCCGGCGCTCTTGGACTTCACCAAGGAAATGACGCGGGATATTGACAACCTTGACAATCATCTACATGGCCACTTACCCCTCGTTGTCATTTTACTATACTATCTGGACCTTTGGAAGCAGGGTCATGATGGCGCCTACCCGGCAAACTACTCCGAAAAGGTGGCATTCCGGAACGCCGTATCCGACGCCATGAGGAGAGACATCCCAGAGGGAGGAGAAGAGAACTTCGAAGAGGCAGTGGCAGCTGTCATGAAGCATGTAGTCCCCCCCCAGCTCCCCGGCTCACTGAAACAGGTGTTTGATTACCAGCCGTCTGGCAGTGTAAGAGACAACGGCCCATTTTTCTCTCGCTTGCCGTATCAGTCAGCTGATGTGGCATACAGGATGACACGAAGTCCAGCTTCTGGATCATTGCGGAGGCCGTGAAACAATTTTATAACCGACACGGCGTCCTGCCCGTACCAGGGGGCTTGCCAGACATGAAGGCTCAGTCTGAGGTCTACATCAAGCTACAGAATTTGTACAAGGACAAAGCCCGTCAAGATGCCCAGGAAGTCCTTGCCATCGTTCGCGGCATCGCCGGAGGAGAGGATATTGACACCGCCGAGGTTGAGCTGTTCTGCACTAATGCACGGTTCATCAAGTTGGTGAACCCTGCAGAAGGCAGAACGGTCGACTTGGCGCAAGCAGTCGGTATGTGATATTTGATTCTGCCCAATCTATCAAGACACGCCCCTCCTCTCTCACGGCCCCCCTCTCATTTTCCCATGGGGTAGACCATTAGGCAAAGCTAATCTAATTTCTTGGGTCGCTCTCGGCAGAACAACAACTCGCCAATGACGAAATTGCGGCTTTGGCCGGCCCGGAGATGCCATTAACACTTATCCCAATCTATCTCGCGCTGACCGCGACCTCTCACCAGGGCGTGGCGACTGCCGAGCAAATAGTGGCCTCGATCCAAGATCGAGTTCCCGCGGCAGCAGGCAATGAGCGGGTACAAAAGGCAGCAGAGGAAGTGGCTCGGGCTACGGGTGGCGAGCTCCATAACACGTCAGCCGTCATGGGTGGTATGGTGGCTCAGGAGATGATCAAGATTATCACAAAGCAGTACGTTCCCATTGAGAATACGTGTATTTTCGACGGAATCGAAAGTCGCTGCCAGGTTCTTCGTCTGTAGAGGCCTTGCACACCCTCACGAGAAGACGCCGGGAAATAGACGAGGCTGTGAAGGCCCGACGTGGTAGCTCTTCCCCAGGTTCGTTCAAGGCCCAGCGTCTTACACTCCACCGGCCGGCCAAACGGCGCGGTGATAGGTGGAGTTACACATGTGTTGTTCGCAAATCATGGAGTTTAGCTCATGCTTGGAGTCGTATTGCGGGCCCTCAGCGCTCTGAGTGAGGGTTTTGGCGGATACAGGGACGAGGAGGGAAGGAGTTGGTGTGAAGCTAGGGACGTTTAGCCGTTGGCATACTACCTGGTGGCGGGCTTGTTCCTTGATCCTGCGGGGAAAACATGAGAAAAAAAAATCATGGGGATCATGGGGTAGAAGGAATATGGGATGGGGGACCGCAAAGGTCTGCCGGTAGACACATGCACGTCGACATCAACTGGCTTGGACTCGGGTCGGGAGCTTCTTTGTTCGGTCCGTACTCCCTGCCCGAAATGGGTTGAGGGATCACATTCAGGCATTCTGTTTGGGGCCTGGGTTGCAGCGAGTCGTCACACGCGTCGGGCTATTCACGGCCGGTTGCACACCTCCGACCACCGAGTCAACCGGTTGCGTCCTCCCATAGAAGCAGCTAGTCACTTTCGGTCAACCTGTGCCAGCCATCTAATCAGTTCTAGGCTAGATGTCGCAACACTTTGCTTTTGAAAAATTGACAAGCTGAAAAAACGTGTGAAGATGTAAGCCGAGCCATCACGAGTTTGCGCGAAATTTACCGCTTCAGGCCATGCTCAATTGACCGTCCTCGAATGCAACTCAGCGAGGAACCGTCCGATCTGCTGGATCCTGTTTGGCTGCTGGCGATCCTTTGGCTTGCTGACCTCTCAATAAACAACAGGATAGGTGACCAGTGTATGTGGGACGCCAGCGTCAACCGACGCACCGCCACCTGCGAAAACCGTACTAGATAGTATCATGCTAGAGAATCCGAGAATGTCACCGACACAGGAAAAAGCACAAGTTATTGCCCGCAACGGGAATGCCGGGGGGCGGACATAGAGGGGTAATAACGCATTTTTCCCACATCGTAACCGCGCGCTGGACATGTCGCCGGGACTCTACGATGCTTGCTGCTGCGTCTGGGAGAGCCACCACCACGTGCTGGCGGTGTAATATTGGACAATGGGAATGGGCCAGGGAAAAAATGCACCCCAAGCCAAGGAGACGTCTCGCTACCCACGTGATGTCTAGCGACATGTATGACTTCATCATAGGGTCACTAAAAGAGAAAAAGGAAACGAGGGCTCTTTAATGTCCGGTTGGTTCCCTGATCGTTCCTAGACCCTTCTCTGGGCGCTGTGCGGGCGCTACGATGCGGGTGGTTCAGAAGCGTCTCAGAGGGGACTTGGGAAGCGGTTTTGGATAATACGAGATTTAAGGGACCGGTTAGAGAATCAGGTACATTCTCCGGGTTAGGGGCAGATCGCCACAGGAAATGGGTTGGGGCCCAGGCACGCACGCGCAGGCAGGGCTCGAAGGGTGGCCTCGTGGAAGGGTTTTGGGGGGGCGGATAACTGGGGCAAATCCGTCTCTCAGACGGACAACTGACTGAGCGAACCTGACAAGCTGGTAGATGGGCGCGATCCACAGCTCGGGAAATTATGAGACATCTGGAGATGGGAGGGGCGCTCCTGTCTATGACTGCTGATGGCTCGTACCGGAATGGGAGCAGTGAGGATTAAGCGAGGCTGCTGGACGGTCCGGCGGTGATGCGTGTCATGCCGGTAGATCAACAAAATGGAAAATATTCTGGAAGCATGAACAGAGAGAGAGGATACGTTTAACGCATCTGATATAGGACAAGGAAGCAAAGGTATAGTAGCAGTTGATGGGTTTCCACACTCAGGTAGAGCAGAGCCCCCTGCCGCGATATCTGTCCTACCTGTAGCATACCCTTCCCACGCAGGCTGGGCCCCTGGAGCCCTGGCAGCGAGGCTCGAAAGACAAGGCGCATGGCAGACAGGGACCCAGGGAAGTTGCCGGCCAGAGCTGGCCGTGCGGGCTCTGGCAGCGTGCGTTCTGTGGGAAGGGGGGTTGGGGTTGGGGGCTTGTCGTGCCAGTCTTATGAACGCACTCCGTGGTTTTTTCATGAGACAATGAAAGGATGAGCACGGCCCCCAAGGGGGGACATGCTCAGGCTCGCTTATACTTCCGAATCCATTGAGGGGTTTCCCTGTACCGACTCATTAGTGGTCGACGTCCCCTTGGGTTTGCCCATCTTTATTAGGATAAAGTGGGCGTGCGATTAGGACCTGACCGGGCGCTTGGGTCGCTGTTCGATCCAGCTGGTGGCACAAACGCCTATCCGCACGAGGAGCGCGTAGATGGCAGATATCACGGGCGCTAGCTGCTCGCAGGGCGGTTCGACGTCGACTGTGGATATGGCAGGGAGTTTCCGTCGCCATGCACAGTGAAGTCGCGCTCCTGACGAGATGATGTTTGTCTCCGCAATTGGAGGGTTGAAACTTGTTGAGGACGAGGAGGATGATAGAGTGGGCAAGCCTATGTGGATAATACTATAGCGTTCTGCTCTGTCGGGAGAGATGGCATTGACCTCGTCCTTGCCCCCCTGGAGGTCTGGGTGGTCCGTGGCCCGTGGTCCGTGGTGGTCCGTGGCCATCTGGACTGACGATGAGCGTTGCCCAGGATGATATCAGGGTGCTGGGCACGGGTTCCAGGGCTGGCGAGATGGGCCATGCCTGTGCGTTCCATTTGGTAGGGATGACGAGGGCCTTGGACAATGCCTTGGATGGAGGTCTGGGCAGAGAGCCCTGGCCGTGGAGCTCCATGCTACCTACGACGTAGTGAGGTCGTTGGGCTTAGCTAATGGCCTCCACTACCTAAAGCTCCCCTGGACTAATTGATGGACCCATCAGCGTCCATCTGATTGACTACGGTGCTCCACCGCGTCCAGGAACCTCGGGACTGGCTTCCTGGGCACCGGCGGTGGTGGCGCTCCGCTGACTTAGCTCTTAGCGCCGGCACAAAGCACCTGTCTACGACCTAATGCGCTGGAGCTGTGGGCTCGTCGGGGTGCTACTGGAGGCTTGATGGGGTGCGCGTGCAGTTGCAGCCCAGGTAAAGTGACATAGCCTAGACGCAGCCTGCCCTAATTACCGGCCCAGCCAGCCAGCCAGGTCTGGGCTAAGGGAGATGCATCCATCCACTTCCAGCATCCAACATCCAGACCAGCTCCCTCCCTGAGGATGGCTCCCTGTCTCCCTCACACACACGCCCCGACAACGCCAGGGAGCCTGTCTGCTTAGCGCCTCTGCCCCTGGTTGGGATGGAGGCATGTGTCGTGTCGATGCCCACCAGAACTATCCATTTACGCTTATCCCCAACGCAAAAGCGTGATCACCTAACGATTGCAAAGCACGGGAGGACGCCGATGCAAGCCATCCAGCATCACCCGCATCTCCGTCACGAGCACCGCTAGTCGACGCTGCCTACTGCCACCGGACCAGGGAAGTGGGGGAAGGGAGCGAATCGCGCACATCGCATCGAGGGATTGGCAGCTGGTGGGCTATTAGTTTAGTTCCATCCAGTGTAGTGCTTCATGCTCCATCGTCTGCCAGACCAGCCCGTCCATTCATGGACAGCAATTGTCCGGACGGCCTACCCTGTCGGGGGGATGGTGATGGCGTGTGCAACCAGGCGCGCAGCTCTGTCGGATTCCAGAGAGGCCAAGCCTGCCGTCGCTGCGTTGTCAGACCTGGCCTTGCCTTCGCTTGCCAATGCGAGGCGCCAGACAGAGGCTGTCGCCTACCTCCTTCAGGCATGCGAAAAGCGCAAATAGGCATCGTCAGCTTGGCCATCAACACCTCCCCGATCGCTCCTGGGCGAATGGGGGGGCCAGCAATTCCCAGAGTGTCCGCGCCTGCAGAGCCCTCGTTGATTCCGGTCCCCAAATCAGCTCTCGCCGCTTGCTACCTCCTTCCTTTGGAAGCCACAACCCCAGATTCTGCCGTCCAAGACCCCATGATTGACTGCCATCCATCCTCCATCTCCTTTGCATTCCCATCCCATTTCCAGCGCGAGACGTCTTTAACCCGTCCAACCAAAGCTCTTCGTTTTCTCCAGACCATCCAATACCACACACCCCTGGTTGGTTGATTTGGCCCTGTGAGCCTGCCGAATACGATTTGCTGCCTCTCCCAGCTACTTAGATAGGTGTCCATGACATCCGCCAAGATCGGCACTTGGGCTTTCACATCTGGCTCGAGGCAGGCGGCGAAAACTCCATGTACAATGCTCAAGTACCCTGCAACTTGCCATGTTGATCACCTTCCGAATGCTAGTCCCGCCCTGTGTCAGAGCATGCAGGCAGAGGCGCCGGCCATGAGTAATAAGTGGACGAGTGATGGAGCAAAACGTCCAGCCGCCATATCTCGAGCGGTGTGTCGGCTCGAGAGACGATGAGACGCGGGAGCTGTTCAGAGCACGCCGCGATAGGGCAATATCTTTCTGGCGTCTCTCGAAATTACCAGGCTTGACCCAGAGCCCTCCTCGCTCATTAAACGTGTGTGCCTAAATCCTTCCCATGGGTAATTCCGTCCGAAGCTGCACAGCATCACTCAGCATCCTCACGGCACATCATTTACTCATGGATTCTGCCGACACATCGTTTCGGCCGAGGACCTCTACTCGCACAGATTGGCCTCTCCGACCCACAATGGCCAGCTAGTTCTCGGCATTGGCATCCGCAACGGCAAGGCAAGGCAAGCAGGGCCAGCACAGGACAGGACAGGGCGTGGCACACCCCAGCTCTCCTCGACCCTGGCTCAAACACATCTCCACAGCTGGCGTCTATCCAGATACCCCTTGGTGTATGGCTACGATGTACCTAGGATCACAGACTGCTTCCATATAATTCACTGTGACCCCATTTCCAAGCTTGCAGTCTCAAAAGGTTGAAGTCTCAACTCTCTACTCAATCGGATATCAACACGGCTCTTCAGCAGAAGCAGACCTCAACCAGAACTTCTACTTCTCAGGCTACAGGTTGGCCTCGCCCTTGAAAGAGAATCTGTTGATCAGCAAGAACCTCTTCGACCCCTAGAATGGCACCGACCATTCCGACGTCCGCCAACAGCGGCATGTTCCATACGTGTAGGTGACGAATCCAATGTTGCTACACCTTGTACGTGACTGACCTCAGATCCCAAAGTCCAAGGAGTTACGCCACGGAAGCCATCGTCAGACTCTGCGGATGGCGGAAGGGCAAACGGCAACACAGGAAGTAAACGTATCACGACACCTCATGCCTGTGCCGAGTGTAAGAGGCGGAAGATTCGATGTGATGGTCAGCAGCCATGTGGACAATGCCTCTCCAGCCGAGCTCCAAAGAGATGCTTCTACGACAAGCACCGCCAAAGGGTCATCCCGTCGAGAAAGTAAGATTGGCTGCTCAAGCTTCAAAAATTTTTATGATGCAGGCGACTGACCACAAACAGAACCCTGGAAGCTCTATCACAACAATTGGAAGAGTGCCGCTCCATCGTGAAAAAGCTTTTCCCTACTGACGAGATTTCATCCCTTCAACCCCTTTCTCGACAAGAGCTTCTTGCTTTGTTGGACCGGCCAGTGATCAACAACCCCAACGGCCTCCCTTCGCCACCCCCCAACACTTCTCCTATAGGCCCGGAGCCGAGCTTGTGCAACGTTTCCGAGTCCACCATTTCCCCCATTGACCAAGTCCCTACGCAGGGCATTGAGTGGGAAGATGATGAGTCGAGCAGAGTATCCATCGCTTCCGAAGTTGATGATCCCAGCGTCTTGTCTATGGACCGACAAGCATCCTACTTGGGCGCGTCTTCCATCAAGGCCGCCTTGATGGTGATGCTCAAGGTACAGCCACAGCTTCGACACTCCCTGGCACCTCCCCTGAACAGCGTCGAGATGGCCAACAACTTCCCAGTCATCCGACAGCCACCCGCCGCTCCCAAAGATTCGTCCCGGATCCCCTGGTCATGGAAAGGGCAGACTCTCATCGATGCGTACTTCAAGCGAATCCATGTCTTCATCCCTATGCTCGACGAGGCTGCATTCCGAACGGATTATTTGGAAGGCCAGCGCTGTGATGCTTCGTGGCTCGCATTGTTGAACATGGTCTTCGCCATGGGAAGCATTGTCGCCATGAAGTCGGATGACTTCAACCACATTAACTACTACAACAGGGCAATGGAACACGTCACAATCGACTCTCTCGGGAACAGCCACATCGAGACTGTACAGGCCTTGATCATCATTGGAGGCTACTATCTCCACTACATTAATAGGCCCAACATGGCCAACTCTATTCTCGGGGCGGCAATCCGCATGGCAAGCACACTTGGACTCTACCGAGAGTCAATCACCCAAGGGGCCTGCGATGTCGCAGCAGCCGAGACTCGACGACGAACCTGGTGGTCTTTGTTCTGCGTCGACACCTGGGCAACAACCACAATGGGTCGACCTTCGTTCGGACGATGGGGCCCTGCGATCAACACCCAGCCACCCGAGTTCAATGCCAGCCAGCGAGACTCGGCCCACCGCGCAGGTATCCTTCCCCTAATCGAGAACATCAAATTCTGCAAGATTGCAACGCAGATTCAGGACATGCTTTCCATCACACCCCTTTTGCGGGCCGACGATCGATGCAATATGGACAACAAGCTTCTCAACTGGTACAACAATCTTCCATGGCTTCTACGCACGACAGACCCTTGCGCGGAGCCCCTTTACATTGCTCGCTGCATTATGAAGTGGCGGTATCAGAACCTACGCATGCTGCTGCACCGCCCTGTGCTATTGGCGATGGCCAACAACGGCATGGGCCCACAGATGGCCGAGCAAGACCTCGCTTCCCTGGAGACGTGCAGAGAGATGGCCAAGGCTACCGTCGATGACATCTCCCGCGAGTGGACTCGCAACCAGATGTCGGGCTGGAATGCAGTGACCTTCCTCTACCAGGCCGCCATGATTCCCCTGGTCAGCATCTTCTGGGAGTGGAACAGCATGCAGGTCCCCGAGTGGCAGAAACAAATCGAAACAATTCTGGGGCTGCTAAAATCCATGGAGGACTGGTCCCTTGCAGCACGCCGCAGCCACGAAGTAGTCTGGCGAATGTATGAAGCGAGCCGCCAGCCCTCAGTCATGCGGGGGGACAACCAGCTGCAGGTGACGACCGACCCAAACCTCTTGGCTAGCGCCGATGAGTTTCACCTCTCACCGATTGGGATTGACACCGATGACATGGTCGGCTTCCTGGACCAGCCTGGCATCTGGGACCTGGACAGCAACTGCTGGGCCCCGGGCAATCAAATTTCAATGGCTACAAGCAACGGCATGTGCGAGATTGACGAGGGCATGTTGGCCATTGACTACAGCGCGCTAGGTGGCCAAGAGGCCATGATGGAGGGGACGATGTGGACGCAATAACGAGTCGGGGAAAACTGATCCCCACCCTTAAAACTTTGTATACTTATCTATTAGTAGTAATTGGCGGGGAGGTCTGGTTCTTGCATGGTTTTTGTTTTTGTTTTTGTTTTGCTTTTTCAATTTTTCATTTTACCTCCCTCGTGGGTTCTATCCTATCAAGGCCTCTTGGCTGGGGGTGAAGCAAGGCGTTCTGTGGCAGCAGCAAACCAAAGGACTTTGGGGCAGCTAGATGGCAAGGGGTTTGGAGACTCCTTGCAAAGTGAAACTTATCACGATAGTTTACGAAAAAATAAGACTGAGGCAGCTTTACATCATCAATCGTCAGAACAATTCACACAAACACCGGGCGAGACAGGGGAGTGAAACAGCATCTGGGTTAGCCTTTCGTGACTCTCTGGGGGGCTAAGAAGTCATTTCTCGTTCTCCGTTCCGATTGAAGCGGCAATAAGCGGGCACCCACGTCTCAGGTTTAATCTCAGGGCTCCCCTTGCCAGCTGGCAAGGGGGTAGGGGGGAAAGACACGCCGTACCCACGTTTTTTCTCGACGGGCTGAGATAGATTTACGATTTGCCTTCTCAGCTCAGTGGCTCCCGTTAGCTCGGGGAACTATTTGCAAGAGGATGATGCCCGCGTTCTTGAAAAGGGAAATTTGTTCGCTTCCCCGGATTTTTGGTCGGGCAAAGGGAATGTCACTTGATTTCCCATATGCCCGCCGATCGGTGTGAGAGAGCTGCAGAAGCCAGGTACAATGGGCTACGCGGCAAACCAGCATAAAGTTCAGGAACGAAGGCACGGAGGCAAGTACACTGGGTTTCTGAAGGGAAGACGGGCCTTGGCCCCGAAGAGCCGGTAAGCTTAGACCGGGGGGAGGGGGGGTAGGATGCATCCCTAGGCGTGTCCAGGGGAGGGGTCAGATGAAGCTTGCCCATTCGCAGCTACCCCCCTCCATCGGGAGCCGTATTGGGAACTGAGGCCGAGGATGGTGAAACGGAAGGAGGGTACGGGTATAAGAGGGAGTGGGCGGTTAGGTCAGGCACATTCACCAAGTATTCAGGTTGGAGTTCTTGGGAGGTGTAAGGCCTCGAATGCTGGCCCATCGCACGGGGGTGGGGACGGAGGAGACTACCGAGCAAGTGTAGCTTGGTGGGGTAGAACTGCAGGTGAGGACGTAGAAGGAAGTGCTTGGCCAGGAACCGAGGGCGTCGCAGTTTGACATCTCCACAGCTTCCACCGGCAGCCTCGAAGACGGGCCTCGCTTGTGGGAGTCTCGAGCTAAGGCTAAGTAAGTCTCTGATGACATCCGCATCGTCTCGTGTTTGCCGTCAATTGATACCTGTGAAAAGTGGACCAAGGCGACGATTCCCTTCCCCAAAGCAGGTGTACCTCGCGAGCAAGTGTCACAGACATGACCCCGTTACGATGTGGAGGAGGTGGGCGTTAAGTTAAGTTGAGTTTGTTTGAGGGCCCAGAGCTCGTGAGCAGATGACAAGGCTAGAAACAACGATGTCCCTTGGACGGCCGATAGCACGGACACAGTGACAGTCTTTTGCCTGTCGCAGAAATCAGTTTCTTGGTCTCCTTTTCAGCCCTCTCAGCTGGCGTGGACGCACATTGGGCTCAGATGGATGGATCTGTGCAGCATGTGGCCTTTCCACTTGCTATGGATGGAAATGGGTGTCGGGATTTCCATGCCACTGTACCAACGGAGTCTCTGCACGATTAGGAACACTTTCTGAACCGACAGTTTGGAAGTGACGCATCGACTCTGCGCTCTGGCCGCGGATCATACTGCACAATGCCAGATCGCCCATCACCGGCGGCCGGCAAGGCCTCGCTGCAGTGCCCTCTACCATGTAGGCCGTTGCTCGTTCTAGCAAATCAGGTGTAGGTCGTTCTACACTCTCGCTAACGCCCACCACCTTACCGGTGGGCCGTCAACAGGCCAGTCAATCTTGACGGTTCTTGCGGCTTCTACTATCGAGACACCGCGGGTGGTCTTTTCGCTACTCTTCACAGCTTTGATTTGATTCGCTTTGCTTCACTGTCTGTCGGGGAGCCATCTAGACCAGGCAAGCCCGGACTTCAGTGTAATTTCCTTGACCGAAGCTTAATCGTCGGGTTCGTCATCTTGTTCAGGGCGGGCGTCCGTTTCTGGGTCAAGGGGAAGCCCCATGTCAGCCGTCGGTGACCGAGTTGTATATTTGGGTTTGTTGGTGGCTCGACGGCGGTGATCAGGCTTCTTCCCTGAGCAGATCCGGTAGAGCAAATCTCCCGTGAAATACCTTATTCATGCGAGTCAATCTATTGAGATTCTTTAGATTATTGACCGCGAAAAGCTGCAAGACACGATGCGAGAGGAACTTGCCGGGAGGAGGAGACATCTAGTCCTCGGAAGTCAGACGAAGTCAGACGAAGCCGGGTGCCTCCCCAGGGACTGACCGGGCTGTCTACACGTAAGTCGTCGCAGAGGGGCTGAAGGAGCAACATGAGACACTTTCCAAACTCTCCATCACCTATCAATAAGACTAGCAAGTACCAAGTATCCGTGGCATGAGATGCGGACTGCATTGCCTTATCTATCGTTCTACTGAACCTGATCAGGCTGCAGTTACTCGTAGGGGGAAGGTGTGACGTGCCTCTCTTTCCAAAAAGCAGGAGAAAAAGAGCCAGTGCTGCTCTGCCCGTCTGAATGCAGGCATGGGCGGCTCCAGGGTCCTGAAAAAGTGCAACAACTTCGTGGTGCACCTTCCCGATGAACTTGCATGAGATGCGAACTCCCACTTCCCTGATCAATCCCACAGCTTTCCCATTCCAATGCGTCCATGGGCAATGAGCCAGATCGGATCACACCCACCTTGGTTGACCATCAACCCGTCGCTCATTTCGTCACATACTGTGGCCTTGCGGGATGATGGACCACCCTCTGCTTTGCAACAATCTGCAATGCAGAACGGAGCTCACCGAGCGTGCTCTCGTTACAACATGCAGGTGTGTTCCGTCGCATCCGCGTGTACGGTCATCTTTACTAATGCGGGCGCTCGAGTACCTTTTAGCCACAATTTCTGCCTCCCGTGTGCACGTCAGTTTGGGTTTGTTGAAGCCAACGGGGCAATACTACCGGGAACCGGAAGGCACCTTGCTTGCCCAGCATGCATGGCTGACTTGCCAGGCCAAGACGACGCTGTCATCACCCACCTAAACCCGAACGATGATTACAAAACGAGTATCCTGAGCGGCTTGAGTCCGAGTACTATCATGGAGTGTGCTGGACGAGCACTGAGCTTCTGGGCGTACCAGGCCACTCAGGAGATGCACTTCCAGCGACATCTCTATACGACCATGACAGAGAAATATTCGGCGCTTGCCGCCGAACTCAATAGGAGAACGAGCGAAGCAAATTCGAAGATCAGCAGCCTGCAAAGCAAGTTACAGAGTGCGCCTCTTCTATTCATGATATGTGACATGAGGAGTCTCGTATGCTGATGTATTCTTGCTCGGCATAGCAACCATCGCCGAATACGAGATACTACAGCAAAAGAACGAAGACCTTGTGCTCATGTATAAGGATAAATGCCGAAAGCTACTGCAAACGCAGGAAGCGCATGACAGGGAAAAGAGAAAAGCTGAGCTGGGCCAACTTCGGCAGGCTGCCTCAGCCGTCGTCGACTCCGATCTTCAGAACACAGGCCATACAACACAACAAATTGTGGACGGAGCTTTACAGGACAGAGGTTCTAGAAAGGTCCAAAACCATTCGGCTGGGCTCATCTCGGGACACGAATATGAGTCCATTGCATCTATGAACTCGTCCTTACCCCGAGCAATTCCGAGAGCGCACGGGGTATGGGACAAACAATCACTGGTGCAGCCCCGAGGAAGTAGGTACTATCAATGTCTCAGATTATAACGACATTGATGTCTTAACAGCACCAGATGAGTTACATGGAGCATCTATGCCGATCAGCGTGAGACAAAGAGGCAATCATTCGTCAATGAACTCTGCCCCATCTCCCCAAGGGCGTCCACAAAGCTTTGCCCATGGCCGCGGGGCTTTATCTGGCTATGGTCTAACTACGAGAGGAAAGATTGGCCCCTTGGCTACTGCTACCAACTTGACTGCCCAGGAACAAAGACGGTAGGTCTATGTCTGCCGCAAGCCACCCATAAAAACCAGAGGGCGATCTCAGACATCACTTGTCTGGAACCTGAAAGATCATCTTTCCAATGAGCTGCGACAGATGCCCTTTGTGGTGTTTCCTTTGAAGTTTGTGAAATAGAGGGGTCGTGATGTCTAGTTGATAATGACAGGCAGGAGCACTATCGATTGTACCTTTGTCTGCTTTTGCTACACATATTTTATTGTCTTGGTCCGGTATTTACAAGAAAGGCCGCTGTTGGCCATAAACACGTATCCCCCCCGCATCTTGATCTGTTTCTCTTCTATCACGAAAGAAAATCATAAATATCCATCTGATTCTTAGGCATTGAGGCAAATCAAATCACATTCCTCTTATATTGCGAAAGACACTTGAAATACTTATTTGGTCACCTAGCCTAGAGACGATTCTAACCACTCATGGAAGCCAGTTTGTTCGAGCATCTTCTGAGCATCAAAGCTACCAGAAGTCCAACAGTTCACCCGGATAAGCTAGGCAAACGACGAGAAGCTCTCAGATCACACCCGTTTCCCGGATCTCCCGGCGACAAGGCAAGGAGAGGTCATTATTATGTGGGAAAAACACCTGTCAATGCCAAAAACGGCCTACATGAGGAAGGCAAACGCAGATCAAGTAGAATTAAGCTGTGGCGGCGCTGGGAACGGACCAAGCTGTGGGGACAAATTCGTCATTCCGACAATGCGAGGAATGTGAAACAACGTGAAACGCTCCGTCCGCATGCGCTTTCGGCAAGGCCAGTGATTTTCCAAGATATTGGCTATGGAACTGCAGAACTCAGGAATGCTCATGATGGATGGGATTGTGGTTTATTTGGAGGTTGCACCTCAACGTCGCCCAGTGGAGACGCCGCTCACTGACGAACCGCTAGCTGTAAGGTCATGAGATCTAGAGCAGGCAAACACGAAGTGGATCAAAAGCCTGCATGAGCGTTCAGGCACCTCTGCACTAACGAGAGACAGCTCTACATCGACTTCTAGACTCAAGATCGACATCTTTAAGGGCAAATACATCTATATTTAAATCGAGGTCTAGCCGGCGGCTTGCGCTATGAATTTAGTCTAAACCACCGCCACGATGACAGTGGTGGCTGTGCTGCAATGTCTAAAGCCACCACAGGACCATTAGAGAAAGAGAGGATTCATTTTCCCATTTTGCCCTTTGGTAGAATACAGCAAACTTGCTTTCGTATAAGGACGGCTGCTTTTGGTAGAATAATTCCAATCAAAGTCTCGGCATCCTGCATGTACTCTCCCATCTGAAGCGTTCCGTGACTCACCTGGGCTCGGCACACAAAAGTTTATTAGTGGCAGTCAAGGATAATTCAAATCCGACGTCTGACTGGAGAAGCAAACGTCATCCCACTGCAATCGTAATCACTGCACGCTGTGTTGCCGGGATCCCTGTTGCGGGACAACCTGTCAGTTGGGTGACATTGAGATTGAGACACTCAAACATGAAGCTGCCTAAGTGTTTACGACCGGTATTGTCAGATTATTGAGTGCCAATAATACATACTTGAGAGATAATACAGTATGTATCGGTACTTTATTTCGGTTTATACTGCTGAATTTTTCCATCCATCGTACAAAGTGGTATGTTCACAACCACTCTTCCATGAGATGTCTCATTTCTCCACTTGCATGTGTATCTCCCCTCGTATCGTATCTGCTGACTGCACAATTATGAGACGGAACGAACCTGTGCGGTGGCGTCATTGGCTGGGCCATGAAAAAAACTCAATACGTAAGCCAGTACCTGGGATGTACATTGCAGAAGCGCGGGAGTCGCGGCGGCCAGCAGCCCGAAAACGGCTAGTGTATTGCATGAGATAGTGCGATACGAGACTCTGGAGGTGGCAGGTGGCGTCGATGGCCTTATCGCTTCGCCCCCCAAGGGCGCAATATTGACCAATGATTCCAGGCTGCTGCGCTATTGACAGCCTGCCGGCAGCGTCTAGTGGCCAGTGGATGGGGCCCCTGATCACCACTGTCTGAAACTGGACAAGTACCAGGCTGCGCAAGATAAGGGCAAAGCGGTACTTGTCCGATACCTGCCTCCTCCTGCGAGGTACGTTACCGTCTGCTAGTCTCAGGCTCAGTAATGGCACCGACGATCCACTCCCCCGTTTGGTTACATTGCCTCGCGCAACTCAATCCAAAACAACGAGCCCAGCCGTAACCAGCCAAAACCTTTCCTCGTTTCTTCTCGTCGGCCCATCCAGTCCTCAGACACAATCGTGTTCCACGCTCGCTTCTGCGCCTTTCTGTGATCCAGAACCAAATCCATCGCTTCGACTTATTTCACCTGGGTGTTCCATTCTTCTGGACATTTTATCTGCTATTACATTTGCTAGTCGCACGGCCTAGTCAAATCCCTCGCTTAGCCCCCCCTGTGGCGTCTTTAATCTTAGCTGTCCCTCACCTACCTACCTAATATTGAATTCATCTCTCAATCTCTCGCGCCTTGTCCCTTCTGCCCATTTCGCCTACCAAAAGGCCGATTGACGCGACAACCCTACATCGAAACCGAGCACATTGAATTTGCGGTCCGAAAATCAACACTCGTTCTTTCTTGCTTTCGGCGATTGTCCCTCCCCTCAAACCGGAAACGCTTGGCACATCAAAAAGGATCGCAATCTCTGGTTACTCGATCTTCAACTACGGCCTCGTTCAACACCTCGGCAGGAGCCCCCGTGCCCCCAATGGGAAAACACTGTATGTGACATGCTCGCCACACTTATCGCGAGGTATTCCCCTTGGTTTCTGAGCAAAAGCTGACATTTGGTCGTCAATGTAGCCCAGTATGGTGTCATCCTGGACGCTGGTTCCTCGGGAACCCGTCTCTACGTCTACAAGTGGAAGAATCCCGCCCGGGACCAGAGCAAAACCGATAGCGAGGATCTGCACCGACTACCGAAGCTGAAGCTCAAGACGAGCAAGAAGATCCATCCCGGCGTCTCGACCTTTTCACAGACAGTCGCTTCTGTAGGCAACGACCATCTTCAGGAGCTTGTCGATGTCGCCCTCGCCGAGATCCCCAAGGAGAAGATCCCCGAGACCCCCATTTTCCTCTTGGCTACCGCTGGCGTCCGCTTCCTCCCCAAGCCTGAGCAGACGGCTCTGCTTGAGGGCATCTGCACCTGGCTCAAGTCGAACACCCAGTTTGAGCTTCCAGACTGTGGTTCCCATATCAAGGTGATTTCCGGTGAAACTGAAGGACTCTATGGGTGGATTGCGGCCAATTACCTGCTAGGAGGTTTTGATCATCCAGAAGGTGAAGACGAAAAGCCCGGGCAGAACCATCACCACACGTACGGCTTCCTGGATATGGGAGGCGCGTCAGCTCAGATTGCATTTGCCCCCAACTCTACCGAAGCGGAGAAACACGCCAATGACCTCAAGTTGGTACGGATGAGGCATCTTGACGGCACTCCCGCTGAGTACAGGGTTTTCACAACAACTTGGCTGGGCTTCGGCGCAAACAAGGCCAGAGATCGGTACATCGAGAGTCTTAAGGAGGAATTCGACCAAGATGTCAACGAATTACCCGACCCCTGCTTACCTCGTGGACTACGAACAACCTTGGAAGGCGAGCTTCTCGCCGGCGATGCCGGGCAGGATGGGAAATCATTGATCGGCACAGGTGACTTCAGCGAATGTCTTCGCAAAACGCATCCTCTGCTGGGCAAGGATGCTCCTTGCAACGACGACCCTTGTCTCCTGAATGGTCAGCACGTCCCTGCGATCGATTTCGATACGAACCACTTTGTTGGTGTTTCCGAGTACTGGCACACCACTCACGGTGTTTTTGGTGACAAGAAGGATACCTTTGATCTGGAGATGTATCAGAAGAGCGTCAAGGATTACTGCACCAGGGAGTGGGCTTCCATTGAGCATGATCTTGAAGACCGGTCGGCATCCCCCAATAGAAAAGCGGTGGACGCACGACAGGCGTGTTTCAAGGCATCTTGGCTCATCAACATGCTCTACGAGGGTATTGGCATTCCACGCATTGGGCTTGAGACCGGCCATGGCTCGAATCACACACACTCAGCAGATCACGATCAGGAGGGTGCTTTCCGTCCTGTGAACAAGATCGATGATGTTGAATTAAGCTGGACGCTTGGTAAAATGGTTCTTTATGCATCAGGCCAAGTTCCAGCTGAGGGAACTCCACTCCCAGTGGGAATTGGCTCCAATGTTGAATCTGGCACCCCGGTTGATTTTGAAGAGGCCGGCTCCGTGCCTCTCCTGCCCGCGGTTGATGGTCATGAGGATGATGACGATAACCTGCGGGCCCCCGCAAACCACTGGTCTGGCTTGGCTGCTGTCATTTTCCTGTTAATTCTCGCTGGGTTGTTGTTGAGAAAGCCCGAGAGGAGACGCAAGTTGATGAACATTGCCCGTCGTCGTCGATCAAGCTCCAGTCGCAGGCCTGTTAGGACCTTCCCAGGCATGTCGTTGGCCAACAAACTCCTGGGAAGGCATCCCCACGCCTACGAAAGAGTCATGGAAGAAGGCGATGTCCCCGAATTCGAGCTCGGTGGTGGAGATTCTGACGATGACGACTCTTCAGAGACTAGTGAGGGCAACCGAGCTGGAGTGGCATCCGGGCTGACAACTCCAAGGTTGACTGCCTTCCATGACGACCTTCGACCCCCTTCCGCCTTCGACAGACAAGGACTCTCTGTCCGGACAGACAGTCGTGAGCGAATCGCGACTGTTGGCCG